TCAGATGTACTTGTCAGCTATGCAAATTTGACCCCTCTCCGTGAGCTGAGACACGGGAAAGTTACACAGGAAGCCGTGGGTTATTGTTATTATCCTTAGAATCTTCTTATAGTGCATTATTACTATATACATATATACATACATATATACATACATATATACATACATATATACATATATACATATATATATATATACATATATATAAGATACTATGTGCTGTGACAGGGCTTCCCTCCCTGCAGGCCTGGCTCCAAGGCGACCTCTCCAAGGCGCAGTTCGTCCGAGAGACGTCGACACCTCGAAGGTTTGTCAGGATTTTGGGGCAACAGAGTTTAGAGTTTTGGAGTTTTTGAGTCTTAGGGTTTCAGGGCTTTAGGGTTTAGGGTTTTAGGGGTAGGGTCTAGGCTTTTAGGCTTTTAGGGTTCACGTCACGCCTTTCTATTTCTGAAGCCAGTGAGCCCGACAATCACGAAGCCTGAATCTGTCGGCGCTCCCTTCATTGTACCCTAAGTGTGTATTGCAAACAGGAACCCCAAACAAGGGACCACAGTTGGGACAAGTGCCCAGCTGCTTCTCAGACTAAGACGGGCTTGAGACCTAGACCTCAGCTGCTCCTCTCAGCCCAGGGTGTTGGAGTGTAGCTTTGCGATTTAGGGCACCCCAAAACATCCACCTTTGTCAGGGCTACCCCGAGGGCGAGACGGGCAGGGACCTGATGTCACGAGCACTGTCGGGACTCCGCAATGCTGCGAAGCTCGGGGAGGCGTGCGGCGCTTTTCGAGTTTTTGACTTGATATAAGATACCAGGATCCGACATAGGTAAATTAGGTTTGAAAGTCAGACTGTATGTAGCACTATGGTGACGTATGTAGCACATGACAAACGAGTCGAGTTTAGTCTAGTCTACTCTAGTGCAAGATGTATGCTTGGCTTTCTTTTACGTCTGCATGGACGTAGGAATCTGTAGTCCGAAATCGGAGGTGTCAGCTTCTGTTTCGCAAGGTTCCCTGCAATGCCAATGCACGTGTGGATACCCCGAGATCCGTAGCATGGCTTGGCGGCCCATGTACAGCACTGGCTAGAGAAGGAAGCATTGGAAGACCGGAAGCTGTGGAGAGCAGGTTTTGACTTTTTAGGGTTTGGGGTTAATGTTCTTCCTTTCTGGTAGGGTTAGGGCACCTCTACTTGTACCTCCTTAACACTAGAGTCAGAGTTTCAGCTTTCTTCAGGTTGTCATCGTTGTCGCCCACGGCGGCATGCTGGGCCCTGAGCTCTGCAGCCTGAAACTGAAGACTCTCTTTTCCAGAAACCCTCGGCTTTCTCGACTGAAAGTCCCCCAGGCGTTCATTGGCTGGTCACTACCATCAGTTAGCTCTATAGATGACCCCGAAGCACTGAAGCCTTTGCTTCAACTCTCGGAGCCTTGTAATCCCAACTTGTGGCATGCGACCTTTATCACGCATTCGTTTAAAAACACGCGGCGCAACGGCATTGAAGACTAAACTGATGGTTGTTGAAAGTCCTTGCCTTCGACCTTGGAAAAAACACGGTTCAGGGCCCTATGGGCCCTATATACGGGTCTGTGAAGAACTGGCGAAGGCAAGTGCGAAAGACACTTACACGTTTCAGGAAAGTTCTGGTGTTTTGGTCCTCGGTTGCTCTCTTTGCTTCCCATCGTGGTGGCATCTCGTGTTGCTCAAGCTGCGTGTTCTTTGCTCAAGGGTGTTCGTTGGGCTTTTGTTCAGGGATTCTTCGCAAAAGTGCAGATAGGCTTTGAAGCCCCAGCCTTTTCTTCGCGCGTGAGACCCGAGGATCCGCTGGAGCGCGGCGCAGATTGAAAGCGGCGAGGCGAGAAATGAGAGGGGAAGGACTCTGCTGAGCTGGGCAGAATCTCTGACATGGTGGGCTTAAAGGGTGCTTTGAGTCTTGGGCCTGGGGGGGAGCTGGAAGGGGCTTCATTGTGATATAAAACAAGGTTCTCGCATCTGATCAACTACACTTTGACGGAAGCTATGGCACCAGCAATTGTCCGTGGCACGGATGAAGCGGCATCTAAACCCTGTAAACTCTAGTCCCTAATCCTTAAAACCCTAAACCCTACACCCTAAACCCTAAACCCTAAACCCTAAACCCTAAGCCCTAAGCCCTAAGCCCTAAGCCCTAAGCCCTAAGCCCTAAGCCCTACGCCCTAAGCCCTAAGCCCTAAGCCCTCAGCCCTCAGCCCTCAGCCCTAAGCCCTAAGCCCTAAGCCCTAAGCCCTAAGCCCTACGCCCTACGCCCTAAGCCCTAAGCCCTACGCCCTAAGCCCTAAGCCCTAAGCCCTAAGCCCAACCATCCTCCAAGCTGACATCGGCATGCCAGGCGCCTCTCCGCCGCGGTGAGCCATTTTCGCAGTACGGGGCCTCGCTACCTCAACAGCAGGAAGGATCTTTGCGTGAGTGGTTTTCAGCATGTATGGCGATCCGAAGTGAAGTGGTGAAAGACTCATGATGCTTCATGTGCAAACCCAACGGGCTGAGACGACTATATCACTGAAATCATGCTGCGCAGTGGGGGTCTGCCGCACGAGAGCATGCTGAGCTTGTCTCGTGCAAGCAACGAGGTTGGCGAAACAACCGTCTCTTGGCAAGCGTATAATGCAACAGATCCTGCTGGTTCTAGTAGCTGCTGACGGCCTGCTGTGTGCATATCAATTGGAATCTCTGCTTCTGCCAGGAGGGAGACAAGGGAATGACATACACTGGTCATTTCTTCGTCCCTGTCGTGGAAGGGCTTCGTAGTAGGACTTGCACCTGTATCTGGTACCTTCTCTGAGGGTGGTGAACTGCTCTTGCTCCACCGTGATCTACGACCACGCCTGTTGCTCAGTCGGAAGCGTTGCAGAAGATTTGAGAAGGCTGAATCAGGCAAAGCAGGAACTGCTGTGGGGTTGGTCCCGGTTCTAAAGATTATTAGTATCAGCACTAGTATTGGTTGTTGTTAGCAGCAGCAGGAGTAGTACGAGTTGTGGTAGTGGTAGTAGAGAGTCGTCGTCGTGGTCGTGATCGTGGTCGTGTCGTCGTAGTACTAGTACTACTACTGGTACTCGTACTCGTACTAGTAGTCAAAGAAGTAGTTGTTGGTAGTTAGTAGCTACAGTTAGCAGTTAGCAGCAGCAGTAGTAGTAGTAGTAGTCGTCGTCGTCGTCGTCGTCGTAGTGGTAGTGGTGTGGTATTAGTGGTATTAGTGGTAGTAGTGGTAGTAGTAGTCGTCGTCGTAGTCGTAGTAGTAGTACTAGTACTAGTACCAGTTCCAGTACCAGGATCAGTACTAGTACTAATACTAGTAAGAGTACTTAATGTTAGCCAGCCTCATTTCGGAGCAGATTGACTGCACTTAAATGCTGAGGACTCCGACAGCTTCCGCGCAGAGGCTTGGTTCGCGGACCTCCAATCTGTCACCCAGGTGAATGGTGTGAAAGCCAGGGATGACTCTGGTTGAGCCTTCGTGATTACGCGTTGAGGGTTGTAGAATGGTTTGGGAATGTTTTGAGGCTTCGCGGCCTCAAGGCTTTGGGGGTAGGACTCTTTTGAGGGGAGCTTGAGGCAAGGCATTGGCTCACTCAGAGAAAATGATCTGGGTGTACGCCCACGCAGCCATGCGCAGCCCCTGCGGCCAAGATGTTGTTTTCAAGTATTACTTTGTGAGATAAACCCTAAAACAAACCCAGTATGTAGGGTCTTGGCCAGCCGATCCCACGTGGAGAGCATAGTGGTGGCAGTCCTGGGCAAGCCCCAGAACGGATGCGCCGGCCACGCGTCATGGCCAGTGCCTCACTGCCCTCCGACCAACCTCCTTAGCGCAGAGTTTCGGGTTTAGGGTTCAGTCTTGGCATCGTTTCCTGCTCGACCGCGCAATTCCACTGCGAGAGTCGAAACGCTTTCGCAGTCGCGGCAAAGTAAAAAAGAGCTTGTGCAAATGACAGAATCCGCTGCATGCAGGAGTACAAGCAACACCTACCATGATTGGGATCATGGTTCCTTGTTCCCGTTGCAGATACAGAAGGCACGTGGATCGTGCAGTCGCTAGCTGGCCGTCCAAGTTTGAGTCAGTCAGGCGACCGCCAGTCGAGTAGCTCTCATGGTTTCATAGTTTCATGCATACTTCATCTGTCTGCATCAAAAACCTAGCTTCCATGGAGCGAAGTACAAGTGGGATCTTTGCTCGGCTCAGGCTCCGGCATCTTACCCATGGCCTACGATGTCGTAGCCCTGGCCGGGATGGGAGGGGGAAAAGGAGCAGATAGCTGTGAGTTGGACTTTATGGGTTGCAGACGGAAGGAGCAGCGTTCCTACAACGTGATACTGGCAAAGCATGATTGAGACCCAGCGCTGTTCATCTTGTCTCAGTGTACGTTTGGGTGTAGGGTCCTGGGTACTCCGAGGTCTTCGGGCCTGACCGAAGCTGGATCCAAACGCCACATGCGCAGTCGGCGCATGCCTCAGCTGACCTCATCCGAAACCTTAAGAAAGGCGCTAGGGTTTTTGGGTTTTTGGGTTTTTGGGTTTGCCTGCATACAACACATGGCCGGGTACAATGACGAAGACGTGGGCTTAACGTGCCGGAACTCGGAACTCTCGGATCTTCGGACTCAGTGAGGGTTTCAGACTGGTTGAGATTCCAGAGGGAACAGACTTTCGTTCCAGGAGGATTCTACAGGATGAAAGCAATGAGCCCAAACCCTGAATGAGACTTCCAGGATGCCTTTCAAGGTCCAAGGCTTGCCATTTTGCCTGTGCTTGCAGCCTCTTTTCTCTCAAGCACCTACATATGAGCTATCGGCAAGACTGGCGAATGTAGGGGGCTGCATCAGGGACAGATTTTGAGGTCGTCTTGGAAAAGATTCGCGCAGTTGCGAGCTCACGTTCCTTGGTCCAAGGAAGGCAGGAAAAATCCCAGCGTAGTGAAGGATTCAAGACGGTTAAGACGCCATTGGCATGTGAGCCCTCTTGCGGACGATGTTTATCCACGTCACTATCGCCTTACTGAGTGGCCGAGAGGCCAATGTCGAGGCTCTGCCGGGATCTTCTCTGGAAGAGCTGAGAACAAAGGCCCAGAGTGCCCTGGGCATCCGCGGCAGGCTGCTAGACAGCCGCGGGGCGTGGCTGGATGAGGACATGACTGTGACTGAAGCAGGCCTACGAGCCGGCGACCTCCTCACCTTACAGGCAAGACCGGTCATCCTGCAAGCAAGCTCAGCCGCCTGGGCTGCCGTGCTGGGTGACGGCTGCCTGGTGACCTGGGGCAGCCCATTTTGCGGCGGGCACGCTCACGTAGAAGCGAAGAACGTGCAGCAGCTGTGCGCCACCTTCAGCGCCTTTGCTGCGCTCGACAGCAACGGCTCGGTTGTGTCTTGGGGTAGAGAAGACTGGGGCGGGGACTGCAGTGCTGTTGAGGATCTGCTGGAGGATGTGCACGAGATCCTGGCGAACAGATTTGCATTTGCAGCCATCCGGACGGACCGATCGCTGGTGACCTGGGGTGAACCGTGTTGGGGTGGTGATGGCCCCAACCTCGAATCGGTAAAGCAAGTTCAAGCTTCGGACCGCGCTTTCGCTGCCATCATATCGGATGGGTCTGTTGTGGCATGGGGCGATGTTCTTCATGGAGGTGATAGCAGCGAGGTGCAAGAGCAACTGAGGGGTGTGCAGCAGATTCACGGAAACAGTTATGCGTTTGCTGCGATTCGAAGCGATGGGACCGTCGTGACCTGGGGCGACCCGGAGCGCGGTGGCAACAGCAGCGCGGTCCAAGCGCAGCTCACAAATGTGAGAACGATCCGAGCTTCTTCCCAAGCTTTTGCCGCTATCCGAGGCGATGGCTCTCTGGTCGTATGGGGCTCCAGCTTTAGCGGTGGGGACTGCGACGGTGTTAGGGATCAGCTCGTCGACGTGCGCAAAGTCGAAGCAACAGAGTTGGCCTTCGCCGCCATTCTTGCCAACGGCTCTGTCGTGACTTGGGGCCAGCCCCAGGACGGTGGGGACAGTCGAGCTGTCCAAGGGCAGCTCAAAACTGTGCAAGAGGTCAAGGCCAATGACTTTGCCTTTGCCGCCATCCGCCTGGATCGATCCGTGGTGACTTGGGGCGACTCACGCTTCGGAGGTGACAGTAGCAAGGTTCAAGACCCTAGGATCCCTCCAGTATTACTTGATTTTTTTCTCTCTCTTCTTTTAGTGAAAGGGCCACGGCTCCCTCAAAAAGACCTTAGTAGTTGCTTGGTTTCGCGAGACGAGGAGCAGCTCCAAGATGTTGAATCACTTCATGCCACCGGCCATGCATTCGCCGCCTTGCGCTCCGACGGCTCTGTGGTGACATGGGGCTGCCCACGATACGGAGGTGACAGCAGTGCCGTCCAAGAGCAGCTCACGAAGGTGCAGCATATCCAGGGCACCTTCATGCCTGCCCGGGACTCGAATGGTGGCTCCTTCGCCGCCGTGCGGGACGATGGCTCGATCATCACCTGGGGTGATCGGGACTCCGGCGGCGATAGTCGCCGCATCCAGGAGCAGCTCCACATGGCGCCCAAGAGACGAAAAGACAGCAAAGGCAACTTCCGTGTGGGAGTAGTGAGTAGCAGTGACGGCTTCGGGGAGATGAACCTTCGCAGAAGTTTAGGAGACATCTGACCTCTGTAAAGCATGTAAGCATATGTAAACCCTGAAGCCAGCAGGCCTACGAGCCGGCGACCTCCTCACCTTACAGGCAAGACCGGTCATCCTGCAAGCAAGCTCAGCCGCCTGGGCTGCCGTGCTGGGTGACGGCTGCCTGGTGACCTGGGGCAGCCCATTTTGCGGCGGGCACGCTCACGTAGAAGCGAAGAACGTGCAGCAGCTGTGCGCCACCTTCAGCGCCTTTGCTGCGCTCGACAGCAACGGCTCGGTTGTGTCTTGGGGTAGAGAAGACTGGGGCGGGGACTGCAGTGCTGTTGAGGATCTGCTGGAGGATGTGCACGAGATCCTGGCGAACAGATTTGCATTTGCAGCCATCCGGACGGACCGATCGCTGGTGACCTGGGGTGAACCGTGTTGGGGTGGTGATGGCCCCAACCTCGAATCGGTAAAGCAAGTTCAAGCTTCGGACCGCGCTTTCGCTGCCATCATATCGGATGGGTCTGTTGTGGCATGGGGCGATGTTCTTCATGGAGGTGATAGCAGCGAGGTGCAAGAGCAACTGAGGGGTGTGCAGCAGATTCACGGAAACAGTTATGCGTTTGCTGCGATTCGAAGCGATGGGACCGTCGTGACCTGGGGCGACCCGGAGCGCGGTGGCAACAGCAGCGCGGTCCAAGCGCAGCTCACAAATGTGAGAACGATCCGAGCTTCTTCCCAAGCTTTTGCCGCTATCCGAGGCGATGGCTCTCTGGTCGTATGGGGCTCCAGCTTTAGCGGTGGGGACTGCGACGGTGTTAGGGATCAGCTCGTCGACGTGCGCAAAGTCGAAGCAACAGAGTTGGCCTTCGCCGCCATTCTTGCCAACGGCTCTGTCGTGACTTGGGGCCAGCCCCAGGACGGTGGGGACAGTCGAGCTGTCCAAGGGCAGCTCAAAACTGTGCAAGAGGTCAAGGCCAATGACTTTGCCTTTGCCGCCATCCGCCTGGATCGATCCGTGGTGACTTGGGGCGACTCACGCTTCGGAGGTGACAGTAGCAAGGTTCAAGACCCTAGGATCCCTCCAGTATTACTTGATTTTTTTCTCTCTCTTCTTTTAGTGAAAGGGCCACGGCTCCCTCAAAAAGACCTTAGTAGTTGCTTGGTTTCGCGAGACGAGGAGCAGCTCCAAGATGTTGAATCACTTCATGCCACCGGCCATGCATTCGCCGCCTTGCGCTCCGACGGCTCTGTGGTGACATGGGGCTGCCCACGATACGGAGGTGACAGCAGTGCCGTCCAAGAGCAGCTCACGAAGGTGCAGCATATCCAGGGCACCTTCATGCCTGCCCGGGACTCGAATGGTGGCTCCTTCGCCGCCGTGCGGGACGATGGCTCGATCATCACCTGGGGTGATCGGGACTCCGGCGGCGATAGTCGCCGCATCCAGGAGCAGCTCCACATGGCGCCCAAGAGACGAAAAGACAGCAAAGGCAACTTCCGTGTGGGAGTAGCATAGGAGACATCTGACACTTTCAAACATACGAGCCGCAAACCCACAGTCCCAGATTCTTGCGCAAGGGAAGGGCCTTAGTGATCAGGAGGAATCGAAACTCTTGTCCTGGTCTGATGTAGGAAAGGCATGGTCGGGGTAAAGCCTTTTGATTCTGTCTCAATCCGGTTCCGCGAGTTCTCAACCATCTCGAACCCTGAGCCGTAACCGAATCTTCCTGGTTATAATCCACGAGGGAATTGGGGAAGTAGGCACCATCAACGAAATCTTGACCTAGATTCAGATTCTTCGGCTTCCCAGGCCTTAAACCCTAGAACCCAATGAGAACCTGAAAAAAACACTCAAGCACCCTAAAATGCCTGAAAGCCCCCTAGACGCCGTAATAATCCATTCAAAATACCAGGCAGCCGCTAGACTGGGCATTGCTCCCGCGACCCTGGCATTGAAGTGGGTGGAGCACCGAGGCGTCCGTGGGGCTTCAAAATTTTCATCGGTTCAAGGTTGGGATTTTGAGTTTTGGGCTTTTGTGGGATGTAGGTGTTGTTAGGCTTCGGGCTGAGCGAGCGGGTGTTTGGGAGCTTGTTATGCAAGTCAGGGAAGGCACCAGGCGACCGGCATCCTGGCAACGTCCCACACGCTGCCTCGCTGCACCCCAGCTCACAGACACAGGATTCTTGGCGCTGGTCCCGGAACTCCAGGACCTCCTTCGGTGTGGAACCCCAGTCGGCTGAGCAATAGAATGCCAGCAGCAGAGGCGAAGAGCGGTGACCTCGTTAGGACATTACCTGTGCTTGTGTCCCAAGCATGGACCCAGTTAGCTGCCGACACTTGGTGTGTCATGCAACAACCAACAGGAATCTCTGAAGAAGAACGCTGGTCAGACCAGAGATCGTAACTCAGATAGTACCGAGGGGAAGCTCAACACTCCATCGCTGCCGCTGCCATTGCTGCTTCTGGGGAGGGGGACCATTGCACCATCTGCGCACCTCTCAGGTCCAACGAGATTGACGACCATCGCTGGTTCATGCATATGTGCCTCAGCTGCACCTCATCTCGAGGCCAGTATCGAGGTGCCAGGCCACCACACCCCCAGCATGAAGCCCCTGAACCACTGGCCTTTTGAGACCCTTTCAAAAGCCCGAAGCAGGGCCTCAGCACCATAAACCCACAGGACTCCCTAACCCACAAGCCTTCTTCAAGCCGAGACATGAAACCGCTCTTAGCCTCCAATCCAAACTCAAAGCAGAAGTCATCCTTAACCACGCACCCTCCAAAACACACACGCAACAACCCTAAAGCCGTCTCTAGACACAAGCCACCACAAACATGAGCCCTAAACCCCAACCCTGAACCCTACACCCGAAAGGTACCGTGAGGCTGCCCCTGTGGAGGCATGGGAGCACCAGAACAGCGTAGTTTAGGCACTTGGGGAAAGGGTTTTTAGTTTCATCCAGACTTTAGGTTTAAGCAGCTTGTTGTTTTGTTTTTGCTTAGGCTTGAGGATAAGGGTGGGGGGAAGGCCGGCGAAGGTTCGACGTTAGGCGAAAGGGCTTCGAAGGTTAGGAGCAGAGTTGGGGCTTGGGAGTCCGGGGCTTGGGTTTTTTTGTTTTTTGTTAGGCCGCTGCGCCTTGCGGGGCTTAAGGTTGGGGAGATGCCTGTGTGCATGCTTCACACTGGTCTGGGCCACAAGTAGTCACCCGTAAGCCCTCAGCCCAGCCTAAACCCTAAAGTCCGCCACTGAAGGTGTCTGGTGAATGACTTAGGATGACTTAGGGTTTCGGGTTTAGGAT